CAAACTCTGACACTGCAGATAGCACAGCCGCGGATACTGCTCTGAGAACCGTTTGACCGTCTGAGCTACCATGTGTCTGTGGCGCAAAGATCGCACCGTGGTGGATCCGAGGCAGTGCGAGGGTCACCGCAGGTCTCAGCAGGCAGCTTTCCATGCTGACCTTTGCCCGTGGCAGCTGCTGTACGCCCAAGATGCGAGAGGTCAGCATGACAAAGCCTGAATAGGGCTCGGTTTCAAGACTGGCATGAAGTCGTCTATACGCCATGCAAGTTTCGATTCGAGTAAATGACGGAGAACGGGCATCTCGTTGGCCAGCAATAGGACGCTTATGCCAAAAACCACTGCCCCAACTCACTGTGACATCGTTGGTCAGTGCTATGGAAGTCGGTGCTGCAGTTGCTGCTGGATGGACCGAAGAGGTGTGAACGGGGATGTTGCACCGAGCTGGTAGTGCTCCGTCAGTATGTGCCTGTGCTCGTGGCATGACGTTAGGCAGTCCCGGTGCCAAGTCTTGCCCTTCAGGAGCAACCGGTGAGGTACCTACAGCTATCTCCGGTTCCTCGGCTTTTGCAAGTCTCTTCAAAGTGCGGAATGTTGTCAAGAGCTGACAGGATGGCTATCCAGAGAGCCTGGTTGCAGTACCGGCTGCCCCACAAGACCTGCCGCCTGCGCCCCCGCGGGCACAGGCAGGGAGAGGCAGCGTGCTGCAACATCGGAACTAAAGGGAGACGTGGGCCGGAGGCCAACTTGGCGGGGTCGGAAACCGTCCTCCAGGAGGGCTGGACGCGGGACCCGGTGGACCTGACCTTGTCTCTTACGTGCGGGCTGGCAGGAGCGATCCCCGTGGGAGCAGATCCTGGAAGCACAGGTCTTCCAAGGGGACCTTGCAGGCACGGGCAAAACACATGGACTTTGGATGACAGCCGTTCTTGTCTTTCGAGGCACTGGCACCATTCCACCGCTCCTCCACACTCAACAGATGGCTGTGGAAATGCCTCCGATGAGGATTGGGATGCCGCAGCAAAATCGTCTCTCTCTCTCTCTCTGCCTCTGTCTTGCAGAGGACGCCGATCATGGCAGCCATCGGGCCGGTTCCCTCGGGCCGCGTGGAGCTTCTGTCAGCCAACCTCGGTCCGGCTAACGCGGCCACGAGCATGAAAAATCCCAGCGCGGCTCAGCAGAAGCTTGAGTTTCGCGACTTTGTGTGACACGTTAGATCATGTTGGGCTGTTCCTTCCAGGTTTGCTTCTTCGAACATTTCTGGCACCTTGTTTTTGCGAGCCCCGATGCTTCTTGTGAGGACGCCTTCCAGTCGTGGCTGGTGGACTTGGAGAGGTTTCACGAAGAGAGGCTCCTTCAGGCAAGTTCGACAATATCACTAGCTGCGCTTTAGTGTCAACTGTAATCGTGTGCAGCTGTGGCGGTTTATCCATTTCATATTTCCTCTGTCTGTCTGCCCTTCTGCTCTATTTCTCCTTCCCCAGCTAGGGTGTCAAGTAGATAGGAAGACATGAAGAAAGACAGCCTCAGAAATCGGTAATCAGACGGACAGGTGAGTAGATGCATCGAGGACGAGATGGACAGGGAACCGAAACAGAAGTGATTATGTACTTGTGCAAAAATCTTCACGGGGGGTAAAGCCTTGGGCCCTGAAGCCGGGAATGGTTCGACTTGGGCTGCCCGTGACTGGGGTGGACGGGGGGCCGTGCAGATGTCAAGTGATGCGCGTGGTGACTAGCACAAGGCGGATTCCAGTGCGACTCTACTTATGGGCAGTCTAGACTCGTTGCTTCTTGAGCCAAGGTCCTCGAGCCTCTAGAGGTTTGCCATCTGATCCATCTGGTTCAGGGTTTGCCACGCCTGCCAACGTCTTTGACACCCCTGCTGCTTAGCGGCCCAACCTTTGCCATCCCCGACTTCGATTACAAGATCAGGATCAGGATTTTAAGGTCTCATGATTATCACGGTCGCTGCGTAATCAGCGTCTATGATCACGCCATTGCTGCAGTTACAATCAGTGCATACAGATATCCCTGTCGCAGTGTTGTCATTTGTCAATACCTCTCTTACAAAAATGGCTCGCTCACCATAGCTGTCATCACTCTGAGGAGTGCCTGTCTTTAATGATTGTGACTCTCGCTGTATCGCTGCATCACCACACGTGCTAGAATCATTGGTTCATTGCCAGTATCAATATCATTCGCATTTTGCTTGCTCTCTCGCTTTCGGTTGTGGTTGTTAAATTACTGTACCACGTTATCTTCATCGCTCATTTCTGATCACCAAATGTGTCCACCAAGCTTCCTTGCTAAGTCCTTGTTGATTGAGCCACAAGTCGGATCGGGCCACCTTGCAGCCACAAGTAGGCCAAAAAAAAGGCTCCGCGGGCGAGACACGAGACGAAGGTCGCATCAATCAGAGCGTGTTCATTCGGTTCAAACCGGTGCCAGCCTGCTTGTGCAGCATCGCTCCAAGCGACATGAGGCTTTGTCGATAGCATCCAACATTGGATAAGACGTTCGTTTGCGAGCATTGCGGAAATGCTTCAGGGTGCCCCACCGAATGCAGGCATGACTTCAATCATCATGAGGGTGACATGAAGCAGAACCCCTTCTTCCAACAGCAAAGCAGGTTGATGGGCCTTTAGATATCTGGTTGCATTTTTTTGCAGTGCTCACCACCGAGACGCGACTTGAAAGTTTCGGTGCAGGAAGCCCAGCGCCGGTTCTGCAGCTGCGGGCCCCACGCCTCCTTGAACGACTTTAAGAAGTGGCTTTGTGCAGCATCGCACTTCGCAGACGAGGATGCCTCGGTTACAAATCCATGATTCTCAGTCTAAGGTCGGGAGTGTTGAGCTGACTTACAGTCAATCTGTCGCACCCTGCCAGGCAATCGTGCGCGAGATGCGAAAGTCACAGCTTTGCACCTGGTTGCTCTGTGTGCGACGCCTCTCCCAGCATCGACCTGGGTTTTCGGAGATGAGCAGCGTGCTGACAACGAGCCTCCCCCCGGAAGTGAAGCTTCGCATTGAAGCCTTCATAGGGGGTAGGCACGTGTGGGGCCCCATCAGTGCAGTATCTTTGATGGCAAGTAGCTTTCTCTGGGAAAAGTTTTCCTGTTTCTATGCATCACCTAGCAAAGAGGAGAAGCCTTGCCAAGAGTCTCAAATCTCAAGCACTTTTACATCTCAGGCGCGAGCAAAGCAGATCGCCGAGTGCGCACAGCGGCAGCTGAAGCGAAGCGAGGCTGGACTCCCGCCCGGCCCCCACCCAGCACACAGTGCGCCCTGTGCAGCGGCGCAGCTTCAAGTAGCAGATAGATCGATGGGTTTTGGTTTTGGGCCCGATGCTTGCAAGGGCTTGCTGCGACAATCAGCACTGGCTGCGCTCGTGGCGAGGCATTTGGGCTTTGAAAGCACATCTTGTATCGTCCCGCCTGGGTTGTTTTACAGGGTTCCATGCCAACCTGCATCTTTCTGATCCGTGGCTTTCAGCGATCGCTTGACGGGTAGCGAAACGTTTCCCATGTGACCGTCCAATCGTTCTGCGGCTCTCGAACCATGAGCCTTTGCCGGATGCGAAAGCTTCAGGACCTGGGGCGTAACCCCCTGATTTTGATTTCTGATGCTCATGATGCTGGCTGGGGGGAGTTGGGCTGGGCCGTTACGTGTTTTTGAGGTTGCAAGGCGGCTGGCTATTTTTGACCACATCTCCGATCTTGCCAGCCCCTTGCCCATCGTGTCTGAGCTTTGATCATGCATTCCCATCACTGCAGCTTCTTTTCGAATGACGGGCAGACATGCGGCACGTTGCAAACGCTTGGTGGAGGTACGTCCATCCCGCCGTCGTTCAAGCAGCTGAAGCTGGCTGCATGGCTTGCTACACCGAGATACCAACTGACGACGTGGCATTGCAGGCCTTCTCCAAAGGCTCGAAATTCGTGCAAAATCAAAGTACTCTCGGCTGTCAGGCGCTCTACGAGGTGGTGGCATCTGAGCCACAACACACCAAGGACTGGGAAAGTCGCCGATACGGCAACCTCAGCGTGCTTGTGCCACAGTTGAGAGCTCATGAGTGAATTGAGCTTGCAGGAGGTGGGTGCCATGTTGTGTGCGCACCTAGCCATTGACGGGTTTCAGGCTGGATGCGTTGGTGGCCCAAGCTCTGGTTCCGCAATGCCAGATTCCCTGTAGGTTGAACCCAAATACCATGATCCAGAGTACGGGCTCTGGCGTGGCTTCTGGGCGAGCTTCCCAGCGGAGAGTTTTAGGCAAGCTCCAATGCGCGCTAAGTAATTTGTCAAAAAGATGTGCAATAAGGTCGACAAGTGCAACAGGCTTCGCTTGGTCCTGCGCTGGTGACCGCGTCGGTCAGCTTTGGCTACGAGATGGGTTGATGTCACGCAGATAGTGTGACACTCCAACACAGAATGGAGAGACATCTTCATAAGAAGTTTTCTCCAGTTTCACGCATGAGTTTAGCGACGCGATCGTGTTGATAGAGTCCGGCTTGAGCTGGCAACGCAGGCCACCGGATGGGCTTTTGCAGGAGCTCGAAGCTCCGGCTTTGCAACCGTTGAATTCAGACAAGCAGTCCGGTGTGGATCGCGTTTCTCACTAGTGTCTTGGCATTGTACATTCACTGTGCCTTGCGGTGGCACCTGCTTGGTTCCCCGTACCGCGGTGACCTTTCATAGGTGCTCTGCCCAGACTCAGATATCTGTTGCTCTTGCCTAGGCTTGTTTGCATGACATGAGCAGGTGATGCCTTTCGTACAGAATTCCCCAGCCCGAGCAAAGTGGTCTCATGGCATCTTGCTGCCTCCGGCTCTCAACAGCATGCCTCATGAAATCAGGAGTCCACATGACTTCAATCATTGTATCAGACGAAGCCCTGCCATGCAACAGCTGCCAATAGCTCCAGCTGCATCAGCGACAGCTTCAGTAATTAATCAACTGCCGATTTGTCTGTCTGCCCACTGGCATCATGGGCCTGCTGAGTCATGGTCACTACTCAAGGCGAGCCTGCAAAGTAGACGGAGAAGAGCACAGGCTGCCCGTGGCACGTCATTCCGAGATTTGAGGCGAAGGTGCCTTGGGTCGCTTCGAGTTTGTGGCGGCCTGCGAGGCCGGTCGCGAGGACTTCGCGGTTTCTCGCGGTTTCAAGCGTGGCTGCAGGCTCTTCTCGCAGATAGTCCTGGCTGTGCCAGCGCAGCCGACCTCCACGAGCTCTTCGATGTTCTGGATCCGTAGCTTGGCTCATCTGCAATGTCTAGATGTAAGCATCTTGGTTGAGAAGTTCGTCGGTGTCGTGCCGTGCCTTCGGCAGCTCAACAGCCCTGGAACGGGGACAATGTTGGACCCGAAAGTGCTGCTTCCAAGGCAGTGCACTGGGCAGGTCAGCGTCGGGGTGGGCCCGTCAGGTCTTCTTTCCACACGAAGTTTGGTTTCGTCGCATTCCTGTGCCAGGAGTTTTCTCGGCTTCTTCAGGCTTACCAGCAGGCCAGTTCAAGTTCAGGCCATGGCGGCAGGCACTGCCTGGCTTCACAGGCTCCGAAAGCCGCGGATGCCCACGCTGCCGCGGTCCGCCTGCTCGAAGGCCAGTCAGGCCCAAGTCCGCAGAGCCCTCAAAGGGGGGCCGCTTAGGCTGCGGCTAGAAGTACCTGATGAGCCGACTTAGGTGCCTCGCTCTCGATGAAGGCACTGCTTTAGCAGTCAGATACTTGAGAGACAGCGGGAGTGAGAGGCGCGCTCTGGAACACACACACACACACACGATAGGTGGGCAACCCGGCACTGTGCTCAGCCCATTAGCCGGGCTGCGAGCATGGCTGCTACAGAAGAACTGGATCTTCCAAGATCTTGAGGTGCAAGTGCCAGTCTGCCTTCCACGAGATCTGTGACGCATGTGCGTAGTAAATAGCTGCAGAGTGTGTCTTCGACAGCTCCGCTATTTGGTTCGAGACTGTGGGGCCTTGACAGCTCTCCGCCTCACGATGTGGCCGATACAAGGCTACTGCTAGTCTTGTTGGGGACAACTCTTCTGTTTTGGGCTCAGCACTCTCCGATAAATTCGAGTGCTTGCACAGGTCGCTGCACTGCCAAAGTGCCTGCAAGCTCCACTCGGGCCGTGAACAGGCGAGCGCAGTCTTGATGTCGTATTCGTGCGTAGCAACCTGGCAGACAGGTGTAGCGGCTGGCAGGTCCAGGAAGCCAGGAGCCTACAAGCAGCGAAGAGATGGCTAGGAGAGCTCGTGGAGAGCAATTGCGAGGTGGCAAGGAGGATTGGCTGCAGAAGGCATGCTGCCGCGACGCTCACAACCGACGAGGGACTACGAGATGAGATTCGCAGGACGCATTCAGAATCCAGACGCTTGTCTGGTGTGCACATGAATAGTGGGGGTACTGAAGAAACTGTGGAGATGGTTTTGGTCTGGGAAGGAGACGGAAGACTGTCGAGAAGTTTCGGGAATGGAGATATGCTATTACGCTTGCTTTCGCCGCTGCAGGTGTGGGGTAGGTCTAGAGTCTAGAGAAGCAGCAAGTCTCAGCCTTTGTGAAGCCCCTCGCGGTGTTGCTGCAGGCGGTGTTGGGTTGGCGTTCCGTCGCTGGAGGGGACGTGCCGGCAAGACCGGCTTTATTGTGGCGACTGCTGCTGGTGTTAGCGCTTGGGTAGTGGCCACGAAGCGGTGGGAGTTGCCCCTTGGCTACACAGCACAGGCCACGAGATACCCTCACAGTTGGAACTGCGTTGCGATATTGTGTGCCTTAAGCTCAGGAAAAACATATCCGCCGAAGAGTTAATCAACGCGACTCGGCCGTTTCTTCATTGAGTTGACCTCTGTGATTCTGTAAGCGAGTTTCTGCACTCAGCAGATGCGTATGATGCGTCAGGTTGCATTTTCGGGTCCAACAGCAGAGCTTTTCTCGCGGCTTCCTGCAGCAATAGAGACCCTTCAGGGACGACTGGGATCGGATGAGTCGCTCGGCCTTGAAGGACACAGGCACGGCATGGCACGGCTTTGCGTCCCTCATTGCCATCCGATCCCAGGCTCTACATTGCAGACAAGGTGGAGGGTAACTTCGCAATGCTCCGACGCCTCATCAAGCTCTCTTGCTCTGATCGACGTCCTTACAGCGAAGCCAGAGCGATCTTGGACGAAGAGAGCGCCTTTGCCAAGTACTGGAGACGGCAGTTTCAGGAATCGGCGCAAGAATTCCGACGGACCTTCCTGAGCAGCACTGGCTAGAATTACTGTGGCCTGACACAGACAGTACCACCCTCCGCGAGCAATGCAGGGATCATCCGGGATCTATCCAACATTCGGTCGAGCTGTGCCACATCTGCGTGGAGTCAACGCCTTGAAGCCAAGGCGTTGCATCAAGAGAAGTTCCTTCGTCGGCGCTCGAGGAAGGGCTCAAGCTGCTTCCATTTGCAGAGGTTACCTACGAGGCTGGTATGCTTCCTGTGAATGTGACTTGAGCTTCGGCGATTGTCTTCGTGGCGAAATCCGGGAGTCATGCCGAGCTGCTATTGGAGGAAGACGAAATCCTCAAGGAAGTCTGTGGCGAATCTGAATTGGCTGCGCATGCTTTTCCGTCAGACTTCAGTCCATGGTTCAGAGTTCATGACGCGGGATGCGGCGCAGTCAGGTCAAGAGCGCGGCCTTCAAGCGTGGCTCCCAGCGAGCTCCCAGCCGACCCACACCCCTTGGCCAATGCTCTTCAGCGTTTCGAGACTTCGACACAGGTCCTCGTGCTTGAAGCTACGAGCAAACCTGGGAAGCCAGCGCATTTCTTGTGCTTCGACTCGGAGAAGAAAGAAGCGATCCTGTCCGTTCGAGGCTCCAGACTCCAAAGCCCGCAAGCTATCACTGTTGCATCGGTCCTCCCGTTTTACTTGACAAGTGGCTTCATGTCTCGATTTGCTGGGTGGTTGCGTGGCACCAGACTCCATCCGAAGATCAGCAGACGCAACACTACATGGCAGTCCATGACAATGTTACCTTCCATTGATGTAAGTCTAGATGCACTGCCAATGATAGTATGCCTGCACGAACCTTATCTTCCAGCCCCGCGATCTTCGTGACATGCTTGGGAAAGCTGTCTCCTGCCACATTGTTGCCGGAGGCACATCAACTCCCGCAGATGCATTGACGGTGACTCGGACATCGCAAGGGTTAATGTGAGCGAAAGATTGCAGCTCCGGCGGAACGAAGGACTTGGCAGGAAATATAGAGGAACGGGCCGTTGACAACGGCAAGCTGCACTGCGGCTGCACCTGCGAAGTCTGGATTAGTAGGGCCATGGGCAGCAGCACAGACAGAGCATGCAGGTATGCTCATGCTGGCTTCTTGACCTCCGCCGAGTCCGTCTTGCAACGAACCGTGCCTGCCCTCAGGTGCCAGAGATAGTCGAAGTCTCACGAATCTGATTCCGGTGCTGCAGCTACTCCTGCCAGGGATCTTCTGGCACCGCTTGGATATGGTTTAATTGTCACAGGGCACAGTTTGGGTGCCAGCACTGCTTGCTTGGTCACCCGACTTCTGCGGGCGCAAATGGCCGAGTGGTGTCCCGGCAGGAATTGCACGTTTTGCTTTTGACTTTTGCAAGCCACGGGACCTTCGTGGGAGGTGTGTAGCTGTGTAGCTGCATCAGTCAGTCACCAGTCTTTCCGTTTCCTTGCAGATGCTTGGCTCCTGCTTCTCTTTGAGAATAGACTTCCCTGAGCATGTTTCTGACAGACCTTAACAGGCCAGACTTGATAGAATCTAGGTTCATTCTCAGGAGTGATCCGCTTGCTTCGCTGCGATGCGTGGCCTTTGCTCCTTGCCCGTGCTCCTTGGCACAGCCTCACGTTGTCTCCAAAGCCTTTTCCATCTTCGAGGACATGTGAGTGGGTAGCTTCGCTCAGAAGAGCACCTCAGGCATGGATGCTGTGAATGCTGGGCTCTGTGCAGCGGATGGAGAGGATGGATATCCACGGGTCTTGAGCGACTTGCCGCAGCACTTATTGTGTTTTTGCGATCACCGAATAAACGCTGCTGGCAAAGGGAAGCTCAGGTTTCGTCTGCAATGACGATGCCGTGCCGCGGGAGCTCTGGCTGCTAAGTTGTGTTTCGAGATGTTCACAGTCATGTCGGTGTGCCTGGCAGATCAGCATGCAGAACCTGGGCCGGCTGTCCTTGCTCGGCAAGGGCGCCTCGGTCGGGCTCTCGTCTCGATTCGCTACAGAGTTCACAATCTTCCGGAGCCTACGTGGACAGGTCGAGGAGGTGATACGACTGGCATCAAGCCGAAGTTCTCGAGAGACGGATCAGCAGTTGCCAGGGAAGCTGGTTGTGCTGCACCACCAGGCCAAGCGGTGTTCGGTGTGAGAGGAACGCGTAGTTGGATGTCGCTGGTAAGAGCTCTGCACCCTGACGTGACGTACACCTATCAGGACGCCGATGCCGTTGACCAGCCAGAAGTCGATGCAGACACCGACACGGATGCGAGCGAGGCATCCAAGGCTTCTGGCACTCCCGGCAAATGGATGGCTTGGCTTGGTCTGGGCCTCAAGTACAATTAGAAGTCTTTTGCAGCATCTGAGTGCCGGGTCGCTTTCGCTGTCTTCAGGAAGTGCCGCGGATTTTCCGGAGGTCGGCTACATTGAGTTGGCTCCTGATGGGATCACAAATCACCTTGCCGCGAAGTACCGGGAATCCTTGGCTGTCGTGGCCGCCTCGCGCGGTGTGGCTCTCGAGGCGGAGCCCCGAGCAGCAGAGACCTTTCTGGACTGGCGCCAGCGAGCCAAGTGTACATAGTAAAAATTAGCCGCATACCCTTTTAAAGCTGATGTTTGGAATCTTAAAAGGCTCTGCTCCTTGGATTTGAACTTGGAGGGGCGGTTGCCGATTGTCCGTCTACCGGGCCAAAGGATCGCTTGAGATCGCTTGAAGTCAGTTTTCAAAATGGCGCAAACCTGCTTCTCTCGCGCCGGAAAATCATGCGTCGCAATGCTTGCAGTATGGGCAGGCACTCTTGGGCGGACCGCGAGCAGAACTCGGTTGGACTGAGTTTGCGGGGCGGCTGCTCACCCGCGTGGCCCGGAAGCATTGGATCACCAATTTGCCTTCTTGATTTTCTTTGTGGCTGAATAGCTGGAGGTCAAGACGCCCTGGCTCACCCGCGCGGATCCAAGGTCAAGCTTTTTGTCTCCTGAAGCAACGACTCCCTAGGTCGAGGTGCGGCGGACATCTTTGCACAGCTTCAGGCCAGCAGCAGCCCTGGGAGTTCGCTCTCTGCTTCTCCCCAGACTCAGGTGCGTTCCACAAATGCGCCGCTCGGTGAAGTGGAAGCCGTTGTTCGGGGCTGAAAAGCTCGATTTGCAGGGCCTTTGCGTGCTCGAAGTCCTTCCAAGGTGCGAGTGCCCGACTTGGTCCAAGCGCTGCTGGGGTCGGAAGACTTTGCCCTCGAGGTCGGGACCAGTCGACTCGTTGGCTACGAGCGCTGCTCCCACCACTTTCTCGGACGCTTCAGGCTGCTCGCAGAGTCGTCAGAATTGTTTCGCGAGAAGCCCGACACCGCGACCAGGATGTTAGATTCTGAGAGAGGGCAGCAAGTTGCGCCCGAGTGGAAGTTTCGCCTGTTGTGGATGCCAAGGTGGGAAAGCTTTGTCTGGCAGCTGACGTCCGACGTGGGGAGCCATACTCTTAGCTCTTAGCTCGTTCGTTGCGCAGCCTCCATCTCTCAGGTGTGGGAAGTCTCGACTTGAAGCAGCTGAGCTCAGTGCTGTCGGCTTTGTGCCCGCAGATGCTTGCAGAGGCAAGCGAAGGCTGCGCTGGTGTACTGACGTTCTGCACTTCTCCTGTGAAGGCGGATGTCGGGCTGCTCTTCTGGCGATTCTCCGGCGGCGGCGGTTTCTCCTACGACCAGCTTCAGGTCGGGAAACTTGGACTGCTGTCGCTGCTGCCGCTGCTGCTGGAGTCTTTCCATCTAGGCCGAGCTGCGTGCAGAGCAGTCAGCTGCGGCGGAGCATGTCCTGCTGCGTGGCATGCCGGTGGAGCACTGAGACTTCGGCCAGAGAAGCGCGACACGGCACCCCAAGCAAGCACACCGAGGTGTTGATTCGACAAGCCGCTTCTTTCGAGGCAAATTTTTCTTCGTAAGGTGAGCATGGACACAATGAATTTGCGCTAGCCCTTGAATGTTTACATCTGAAAATACATAGGTATGCATGTTTTCATGTATGGATGGACGGATGGATGGATGGATGGATGGACGCGTGGATGCATGGATGCATGGATGCATGGATGGATATAATAATTGTATGCATGCATGCATGCATGCATGCATGTATGTATGTATGTATGTATGTATGTATGTATGTATGTATGTGTTTTTTTATTTACTAGGTGTGTGTATGTACGCATGTGGATGCACAGGCATATATGCACATGCACATATGCAGGTAGACAGCCTGCCAGCAGCTTAACCTAGAGGGCACACAGAGCAACATTCACCCTGAAACCACCGGAGTTTCTGCTCGGATCTGTCGGCACCGGTGCAAGGTTCTGCCTTGTGTATCTGGCTGAGCCATGGCGGGGCAATTGGAGGGAAGCGAGCCCACTTCGACAAGACGATGGCCTTTTAGGAGGAGCTCCGAGTGGTGTGCGATCGGCTTGTGAAGCTCGAGACCCTGGGCCTCGCTCAGAAGCTTCGCTTGCTCAGTCGCCGTCTTGCACGGCTTGAGGCTGGAACGCTTCCAGGTGCCAGTGAGACCGAGATAGAGCAGTGTCAGACACGGACGACACGAAAGCTCACACACAAATGGGTCATTATCACGGAATCGGATCATCTGCTTCAAGAGTCCTCCCGGGATGGTTTGTTGTTGGTGGCTCTGGACGAGATCAGGCCGGCGATCAGTGCTCTTATCAGCTGTGGCGTACTTGCAAGCTTAGAGCTCTAATTTCTCTTCGTATGGATTCTCTTGACATCTTTGCTGTGCGATGATCCCAAGTGCGACATTCAGCATTTGAAGAACTGTCAGGTCCTGTATGGCCACAAGTATGCCAACATAGATTCTTCCGGCTTCTCGTTCTCATCTGTATTACAGATTTGTGGTGGGCCTCGCTTTGAGCGCGAAAGGTGGGAAAATTCGGTGCTGGATGAGGTCGACGCTTACATACCTTGATCGCGCTTGCAATCTGGGCCTTTAGTCGAGTTGCAAGATGCAGTAAGGTTTGTTTGGTGCATAATATGTTGCTGCCCCGGAAAGCTTGAACGAAGACGAGCGAGTTTTTGGGAGTGTCAGTCGTCTGCGCGGCACGGCGGCGTCTCTCGCGGTCTTGGCACTCTTTGGGATCGCCTTGATGCTGGGAAGGCTGGCTCACACCCGAGATGTCATCAGCAGTCTTTGGCACTGGTCATGGCTGTGCGTGCCGACCACTCCAACGCCAACTCAGAAGAGAGCTCCCGAAGATGACCGGGTCGTCTGCAGCGGTCACTGCTGTCAGCAGATTTCCTTTGTGGGCGCAACTGCCGCGGCCACAACCTGCGTGACAACATCCACTTTTCATTTGTGCGCATGGCCCAGAGATCTGCGGGTGCGCAGCTGCTGGCAGCACCAGAACGAACCGGCCATAAAGAAAGCCGACACAACGCCTCCTGCCGTGACTACTCGACAGAACCTCAATGACACTCGTTCGGAGTCCTGGAAGCGCTACTCGCCTGACTTTGTTCGCCTTCTTGTGTCCCTGTCGCCGAACAACAAGACCGCTTGGAATGCTTTAGGAGGCATGCTCCCTGCGTTGCAGTTAGCGGACTGCTTCATTGTATAGGAGATCGGTCTGATGCGCGCCCGAAATGTTCAGGTGATCCGGATCCTGAACCCTAGAAGGTCAAGTCATGATTCTGTGCGACCACGCCAGCATGGTTGCCCTTCTGCTGTTTGAATTCGTCTCATGACCGGAACCACAATGGGACGGTCGTTGTTGCAGCACGAAAACAACGTCACAATCGTGATGCAGCCTTGCAGGCTGTGATTTTGTTGTGTGGCCTTGCACCTTTGGCAAGAATCTTTCCTCCCCGGTGCGATGTTTCGAAGGCCGCTGCCAAGATCCAGGACAGCGCGCGCTCTGGAAAGCTCTCCGCGGCCCAGCAGCTTGGCGAAGAAGTTCCTCGGAAGTTGTCCGAAGGAGGTTTTCCTTTTGGGCGCGTCACGTGTCGCTAAGGCTGCGAGCAGCCTTAGCGCAGATGGACCTCGGCTTGAGCTTGGAAGGAGGCGCCGAGTTGCCCAAGCCTGCGAGGTGGTGTCCTGGGTTGTCTGACGCTTTGGCTCGTTGATTTTCGAGGCTCCGGCATGTCGGAGCTGGAGGAGTTTGCGGGGCTCCTAGCGGCTGCTACAAAGAAGAAGGTTGAGCAGTTTGACTACGCCTCTTTGGTTTCTGGTGGAAGCTGGAAGGCAGAGTTGCTGTGCAGCCTTTTTGAAGCCTCTCCGACCGTGCTCTGGTGCAGGGCCCGACGATGGAGGAGGCAGTTGCCACTGTCTGCCGCGGCAGCAAGAGCCTTTCGAAGCCTGCCAGCGCGGACAAGAGGCATCTGTCGACCAATGCTTCTTGAGGTCGGGATGTTGCTGTGGAGTGCTGACAGGCATATGCTGTCCATCCTCTTCTACAAGACTGCAGAAGCAGCGAAGAAGTTGGGCTTGCGCGACGCTGAGTCAAGACCAAGACGGTGGCAACTTTCAGCTGTTGGACGGGACGGCTTTAAGCAGGTCAGCTCAGCGGGCTTTCGATGGCTTGGACCGTGGCAGCAAGGGCTTCCTCAACGCCGAGGCAGGCGAAAGTGGAGCTCCCCGCCCTCTGTCGCACGATTTCTAAATGTCTCATGCCCAGGATTTGCGCTTGGCCGTGCTTCAGATTGTCGGAGGAGCCGCCAGCCCAGAAAGCCTTTGCTGAGTGTCGACACGTCGGGCGTGCGGCCCACGGCCCGGCCATGGGCTGCTTATGGAACCGCCGAGGATCAAAGTCTCACCTTGAAGGACCTTGGTCTTCTTCCGTCAACAAGGCCAGCCCGGCCGCGGCCCGGCGGTCGGCCCGGCAGCGAGTCGGCAGCAAGCAAAGGGAGCCTCCCGGCCGCAAGGTTGAACTTTCCGGACTTCGAGAAGCGCTTGAACTTCGATTTCGGCCTACTGTCCAAGCACATGGGCGAGGTCTGGCCTGTGATCTCCGAGATGTGTGTTTGCAGAGGTAGCCGATGTTTTTTTTTTCTTCCGTTTGATGCAGGTGTTTTCTGACCAGCCCGCGATCAGCGAGCCGGGACCTGGGACCTGCGGATTTGGATCATGTTGGTGGGCTCTGCAGATTCTCAGAGGGCAAAGTCTCAACCCAGGCTGTCCGAGCTCTTTTCGTTGTTCAAGTGGCCCGCTAGGCAGCACAGATTAGAAGAAAGCCGGGACAGCATGGCCACAGCGGTTGCGGAGAGGATGAACAGCACTATGTTCCGCACGTTGTCAGTTGGTTCTCCAGCTCGTCTTGCCGGGCGATGCAACCAGGACCAGATGAACCAGCTTGTGCTGGCTTCTGCGGATGGCGCAAGTGTTCCCTTGATGGTTGCACCAGGCATCGACTTGGGTCAAGGCTTCGTCGAACTTGTAGGCACGAAAGGCCCAAACAACGAGCTCCAAGTGACGTCAGTGTCCAGATTTCAGAACGACGACGTGGACTTCGACCTCTGGAACCAAGCCCTGCAGCTCAGCCAGGCTCCAGCACTCCGTCATCTTTTCAAGCCGGCGGAGGCGAGCGGGCTTCCGCTAGGAGCTCCGATGGGGGCTCCCATGGGAGCTCCCATGGGCTTTGCGTGATTCTTCTGTGAATCAGATGGGGCAGAACGAAGGGGTCTGATTGCCGTGTTAGATGCGGATCCGGGGAAAAAGATGCTCTGCTCGCTTCTACATTTGGGTTGGTTGGCTACTGCGGCAGACAGACAGTTGCGGCACTTCCTTTCGAAGGTCAGATTTCGTCAATCGTCTGAGCCAGATTGCTGGCCTCGACAAGGCCGGCTTGCCGTCGCATCCGAAGTCAAAAATCAAAGCAATGCGCTTCTTCCGAGGCGACTCTACAAAGCTGGCTGCAGCTCATGTGCCCTCGGCTGCTCACAACCACTCTTCGATCGCACGCATCCGATTTGGAAGGTACCCCGGTGGTTGTCCAGCCGATGGCGTTGGGCGCGGTGCATGTGAGACTTTCCTCGCGACAACGCCTGCGCTGGTGCCAGGAAGCACAGGCGGGAAGGTTCTCAGTCCTTTCTTGCTTCGCGGGACGCAGCGACTATCTCCGGTCCCGGTTTCGCAGGGCGGTGCAGTGCAGAAGTGCACTCAGTAGTGACACAAGATGACAGGCAAAGGACCGAAGTAGAAGCTGCGGTGACATGGAACAGGGCGGTCCTCACAGATTCATCTGCCCCTCCTGGCTATGGTCTGAGTCAGACACTTTACGTCAGTGCTTTGCTCCACTTTCACGCCTTCTTGCGACGACTTCGTGAGCCTTGTCGATGTCATGATGTCATGGCACGGAGCGATAACATCACGCTTGAAGCATCGCAGTTAGAGATGGCCATGTGGTCGGCTGGGTGGGGCGCACCATGCATTCTAAACCTCGTGCAGTAAGATCCGTCTGTTTGGGTTGAAGTGAAACAACGCGAAGTCGCGCAGTTTCGTGCGTCACAGACTTCTCGGCTCACTGCAAACGAAATCTAACTTGCAACCCACATGCACAGGTGCTGTACTCAGACTTCAAGGCTTTAACATTCGCGCAGAGTTGATGAAGGATGCCGAGGCTGGAAGCCGTGATCATCGGAGTGCAGCACAGGGTATTTAGTTGCCGGAGAGACCATGAAGGGCTTGTTGGACCATTGCAAGGCTGAAGGAACGGCCGGCACAATGCCCGCATGGGTAGTCTGTTCCTCAGCCTTTGCTGCAGATCCGAGCCTCAAGTCACTAAGAAGAAAAAATTCTCACTGTGCATGTCAACGTCTCGGAACTTCAGATCCGAGCGAGGTGAGGCCCGGCATTTGAGGCCCGAAAGGAGAACACCTGAGGCCAAGTAACAAGGAGGGCTATGCCGTTTTGTCAACAGTGGCTTGCTTTTCATCCTTCCATCGGCTCAAAAGCCGTCGCACTTCGTAGTAACGGGTGCAATGGTCGAAAGATTCACCCGAGATCGTCCAAGGAAGCCACAAGGCGCAGCACACCTACGGCCCTGCGAGAGTTGGGTTTCCCGACCCTCCACACAAGATATGAGAGGGTCTCTCGGAAGGGGCAGTTCTGGAAGCGTTGCGGTGCCAGCCCTCCAAGCCGGGAGAACAATAATCAACAAACCATAAACAAACATCGTGGAGAGGGTTGTTGACGAGTTCTCGTTGGACGCTTTCGGCGAAGTTAAGGCCTTCTCTCGCGGGCGCGACCTGCTGAAGAAGCTTGCGGCCAAGGTGGGATTCAAATTTTCCAAGCAGGGTCTTGAGGTGGACGTGAGTCAACTCACATCTTGGACAGGATGCTGACCAGCTGATTAGATCCGTAGCAGAGGCGGGAATTCAGTCGCATGCTGCGACAGAGACAGAGCATGGTCGCTCCAGGCATCAGCGAAGTATCCGGCAGCCGGGCCTCAAGAGGTCGGAGCCTCGTCCGAAGGCGAAGCCGCCGAAGCCGTTCTTCGCTTCGTTGCCCCTGCCGGAGGTCATTGCCGGTGCTCGCATGAAGACGGAATCAGAAGCACCGCTAAGCTCGGGCCCTGCCAGCCTCGTGCGGTTCCGGCTCGTCTGCTCAGTCAACCTTGCCGTTCAAGGAACTGAAACTCTGCTGAGTTGTGCTGAGAGTGAGAGAGCTTCAGCCTCAGCTGGCAATGTAGCAGAGTTAATGATGAGGTACAGAGTATGTGCATATACAGCTTATGAGTGCTGGTTTCGTCAGCAAAGCTTGGCAGCCACCTAGGTCGTCGAACATATCTTGGAGGTTACCTTCAAGTCTGTGACCGGGTTCAGCAGAGCGGCTGAAGTCTTCATCCGGTACAGCTGCTATGGCACCAATTGTGTTGCCGATGCACCAGCTTCAGCACAGATGGACTTCAGCGCAAGGCATGTTTTCGGCCTCAGCAGCAGTGACTCGCTTGCCAAGCTTTTTGAAGGACGGGATCATGCATTCACAATTCAAGCATGGGTCGCTGTTGCAAAAGATGAACTTCGACGGCCCCTCGCAGTCGCCGCGGTTCCGGCGGCCGAGTTGCGCGCCTTCTTGGAGTCCTGTTTGCTGGAGAGGCCACGCCCCGAAGCGGTTCTTGGATCGCAAAGGAAGTTCGCTCTATCCTTCACTCCGGTACCCATCACGGACCCTAAGCTCAAGAAGCCACCTGCTGATGCCGTCAAGGGAGACGTAGAGCTGGTGGTGCATTATAGTCGGCGCGCGAATCCGGATCCACAGCGGATGGCGTTACCTTGGAACTCCTCCTTTGCTGGCCGCCTGGTGGTTTGCAGGAAGGGTGTTGCGAGTGTAACATGTGATGACCCAGAAGAGGCTCCGAGTGGGCTTGCACCACGAGAAGAGGTGCCGAAAGCACTTCCCCCACCTGGCTCGGTGATCATCAAGATCTCGATCTTAGGCCTTCAACTCCAAGCGGACGCCTTGCGGGGCTTGGTGGCTCGGTGTTTGCAAGGCCAGCTGCTAGCTGCTCCCGGCTCCGTCGGGGGCCTCGCCAGCAAGGCGCCAAAGTTCTTCATGCGCCTTTGCCTCTTTCCCGGAAAGCCCGCTATGCAAGTGGCGGGCTGCGGTGGCTGGGCGGAAAGTGCAGTGAAACCGGTTCCCGAGAACTTGTTGGCTCCGGCCAGCCTTGCCAGGCCTGAGGGAGCGCAGGTGAAGTTGGATTTCTGCTGGAGCTCGCCACCCCTGGAAGCAAGTCAAGCCGTTCAGTCGCTTCAGGATGGAGTTGTGGCGCTGGAAGTTTGGATCAGACACCCAGCTGCTGATCTCCGCCTGGCCGAGAAGTCCGTGCCGCTCCAGTCACTGCTGGAAGCCGTGTCACCGGAGGATCCCAGCGAACTGCGTCTGCGGACTCTGCAGCCAGCCAAGGTGGACTTGACTGCGGCTTTCGAGCGTGATGGGAAGGCTTTGGCCCAGGTGTCGGCCGGTTCGATGGCAGAGTTGCAGCTCCCCAACGGCCCAGGGACCCTGTCATGGCTCGTCGAGAAGCCCAAGCCAAAGCCCAAAGAGCCACAGGCTCCTTTACGGGCGGAGTACTTGCTTCGCCTTCGAGAGGTCCTTCTATCTGGAGATTTTGTGCAGCATTTGGCCGGGGGGGAGCCGACATCCAAGGAAGAAGAGCATGGCAGAAGGTACGGGCGCAGACGCGATGCCTCACAGACAGCTTCGGACCTGCCTCTCTTCTACCTGGAAGTAGCTGAGGGCAACTTGCCACAACATGCAGGTTTTGTTGCAGCATGAAGTAAGGATGATCCATGGTCTCGTTGTTTTTTACCTTCAACGTGCTACCATGATGGTTTTGGAGCCCCCTTTGCAGGTTATGTGTCTTCGTGGCCAGGCTCCTCGAGCAGTCGCTTCCGCTCTGCTCCTGTCCGTGGCGTGCTTGATGGGCAAGGCTGGGTGCGTGTCAATCCTGGCGAGGATGCCTCCCTTTCATTGCCTGGGCGCTATGTCCTCGGAGGCGGATTCGGGGAAACGGGAAAGAGCATGGATGCCCTGGTGCTGAGTGCAGAGAAACACAAGCTCGGGCTCCGCCTACTCCAGCTCAGTTCTGGTAGCGACACAAAGGCAGCGGCACAAGCTGACGTTGTACTTCCACTCGGAAGAGAGGTTGAAGGTGTTCCGTCCATGTATTTTGGAGGTCTGCTTTGGATACCATTGCTTCACGTGGCTCCAGAGCATCCCTGCACTTGGGTGGTGGGGCGTGCACTGCTTTGTATCGAAGCGTGCAGGCCCAACGTGTCCAGAGACCTTCGTCTCCTGAGGCAGGTGCCCCTGGCACCTACCGGTTTGTACCTTCCGCTTTACAAGGATTGGGAACCGCCACGGCCACCCTCTTGCCCAGCTCCTGGACCCGCTTCCTGGCCGGTGGAATCGGCGGTGCGAGCTTTGGCTGGGGATGACTTGTGGAAGAAGCTCAACGACGAAGCGGTGAAACCTGGCATCATTTCTTCAGGAGCTTTTCAAAAGGCAATACAGGCTGCTGCAGAAAGTTCAACATCCCCTCTTTTCCGTGCAGCTTCCGCTTCCACGAGCATGCCTGCGGCTGGTGGCTCGGCAATGCAAGAAGACTTGAACTTCCTCGTGGCGACTCTGGCGCCCATCATGGCAGATGCTGGCTGCATGGTTCCTTTCAGGCAGCGGCCCGATGTCAGGATGTTCCCTAATTTCTGTGATTCGCTTCGGTTCAGGGGAGAAGGCTGGACAACACGGTTTGGCAGACTTCGGTTCCTCTCGGATCCAGAACATTGAGGTTCCGGGTGTTTCTTGCACGGAGTTCGTAAAGCTGTTTGTCAGGCAGCTGCTTCTTTGGATGGGTCTTCGCAAGCTCGCCCGCTTGATACTGCCCATTGCCAGAGGCGCGGGAGCTGTGGCGTGATTCACGGTCTGATGGCAGCCGCCCTTCCCTCTGAGGCCTGCTGCGGCAACTTCAGCAACTGGAGCTCAATGGTGACGCAGGCGGTGATTCCTGTGGAGGCATTACGATCTGCTTACCTGCACACGGAAGGTCTTAGAGGATCTTCTGGAGCAGATGCCTCATCGATATTCGTGCGACTGGTGCTCAAACTCTTGCAATGCTTTTGGGTGAGGCCGTGTCCTTTGCGAGCTTCCAGGCGGTTCTCCAGGCACTCATCGTGCCAAGCGCTGTGAACCGAAGCGCAAGCACAGTCCCTGTGGCATTGGTTGTAGGCAGAGCTGCAAAGGGTGGGCTTACCAGGCAAGTCCCTCTCACGGCAAAAGTCTCAGAACGCGGCTTTTCTTGAGTCATGCTCTTGCGCAGATTTGCCGGCAGCTCTGTGGCAGCTGATCTCCCAAAGATCCGAATGGCTGGCTGGAGGTCTGAGTCATGCCCTTCTGTTCAGCTCCCACCCAGGTTTGAAGTAGTTTTGTGTGCTCTACTGTCGTGCCGAGCCCTGATGCAGTGCAGGCCATTGGCACTTTGACTACGTCGTCTTCCTTTGGGACTTGCAGGCTGCAAGCGGCAGCGAAGTGGCCTTGCAAGGCTCTGCAGAAGCGATCTCTTGAGTGCCGTGCAAATGAGAACAGTTGGGAGGCACCGGTGGCCGAGACACCTCCACGGGAGCAGAAAAGATCGGCAAGGTCAGAACCTGTGCTGGCGCAGCCTTTACTTTTATCAAGCGATTCTGGCTGGATTCTTTTTACAGCCTTGCACCACTTTGAGGACGCGACGAGTGCAGCTACATTGTGTATTTGCCTAGCTGTGTCACAAGTTGCGCACAGTGCGCAAGCCGTTTCCATCGGACACTCGGAAACCCGCTGACTCAAACCTCCAGAATGATAGGGATTCTTCCACGGCTAACATTGCGAAGCACCGGCGCCGCGCATGTTTGTCACACTCACAAGGTTCGGGCTTCTCAGAAGCTTCTCACGCGTCCGCAAGAATACCCTGGGCAATCCACCCACAGTGTGCTTGGACTGTAGCAAAGCGCTACAAGTGGCAATGGAATCGCCTGATAGGCCTTCAATGCACACGCCGCAAAGACGCTCTCGGGAATCCGAGGGTTGCCAGAGGATTGAATAAACAGAACTTTCGATCCCATTTGCCCTTGTTCGCCTCTCGCGCCAGAGATGTGAGAGAAGGCAGAGCTGGAGTTTGAAAGAGTTGGAGAGGCTGGCGCCGATGTGCTCTTCTGGCCACTGCGATCTGACCTTCACCTTCAGAGGCACGAAAGGGGTGCGAAAGATGGCTCGTCTTTCTTTATGGTTGCTCTCACTGCAGGCGAGAGCCGACTTCCTCTCCCCGCAGCCCGATGCAGAGAGAGGCCATGGCACTTCCAAGGCAGGTGCTGAGATGTGCGTGTGTCTGCAGACTGTGGTTTGCTCTAGTGGCTCGTGGGCGTTGAGGCCGCGAGGAAGCTCCACCGGCTTCTCAGCCGGACTAGCACCGCGCCCGCTGCCAGCTCTTCGGGGCTTCGAAGAATCCGCAGTGCAGATGCCCCCCTCAAGCTCGGCGCCACCGGTGCACTCAGCTGTGCCGGCCGTTCTGCCGGGTCTCGGCCTTCCTGGCGCTCCCAGAGCTCGCTCACCGAGCCCCTTCTGGGATCTATCGGCGCCCCGCCCTCTCCAAGAGCTTGGGGTGAAAAACGACATCAATGAGACAGTGCTGCGGGCTGTGTCAAGGCTTTCTGATACAGAACTGCAGCTTCGCTCTCTATCGGGCAGTGAGGAAGAGCAGCTGCAGCAACTGCGTGCAAGACACCAGCAGAATTTGGAAAGCTTGGGCATTCTGCAAAAATCCATGCTGATCCCATCGGCGACAACGACCACGCTTCCAGCTGCTACGGCTTCAGATGCACGCGAGAATGGCGAGCGCATTGCTTTGGAGAGCATTGGCTCTGCGCCTGCGCTTGGCGTTTCAGCTTTGCTGGACCTCGCCAACGCGAGTGCCGCGAGTGCCGCGAGTGCAGAGAATACCGGGGCCGGGCTTGGCCTGTGCGGCCTGGGCGGCCTGGGTGCTGGGCCCTTGCCGCCAGCTCTTGGGTTTTCCTCCGTTGGCCGTCCGAGCCCACCAGCAAGCCCGCAGCCGGAGCAGCCGGAGCAGCCGCAGTCAGAGCCAAGGCTTCCGAATCAGCTTGACTTGAGCCAGACTGCTGGGCCACTACCGCCCCCAAGCCCGTGGAGTGCAGAAGCAGAAGGCTCTGAAAGCATTTCCGTCCAGCTTGAGGGCAGAGTGCTTCAAACTCAAGTCAATTCACGCATCGATGATGTGAGTCCAACTGAGTCAGAACGATATTTGGCTCTGCAAAGTTCGCAGTGTCACTTCGTCTGAGCGGGGCGCGCCTTGGATGCCAGGTGGTGTGGGCAGCGGCTGGGCATCTGGTGCCGGCAGGCCTATTGAGCGCACTAGGTCTCCTTCTTCGATGCATTGACACGGTCAGGACAAACCAGCCGCAGCCGACCGAAGATGACTTGGCTCGTGTGTGAGCTAGGCAGCTGGGTTTACCGGGAACTTGGACAAAGTCACAAGTATTTTGTCTTTCTGCCTTGCCCATTGTGCGATGCACAGTTGTACATTAGGGATCGTTAGGGGTACTCCATGGCCGGCTGCTGAAATCAGGTAGCCGCCGCGTTAATGTCTCTTAGAAATAGGTGTCACGGAGAATCTGCCAGCGAGCTGCTGGCTCTCGATGCCTTCAGTGTAGCTGCACGGCGCTGTGCGGCTCGACAAGCGACTTGTCTGGGCAGGGTTAGTCACCAGCCAGCACAGGCCCGATGTTAGATGCTGGAAGCACGCTTTCAGCAACAGTCAGCAGCCGTCGATCAGACAAAATGTATCGGACAAGGTCCAGAGCGCTCGTCCTCATGATGTTGGAAGTTTCACTCCCGGGACGTGGTACTCATAGCGACTGTTTGTGTGGAGCTTCGTGTTCCGGGGGCTGAGAATACATGCAGTAAACTCGTAGTCTTGATAGAGTGGAACAGAGCTCAGGCGACCATGGCAGCGAATTGTCTTTCTGTTTTCGCACAAATCGACCTGTCAAAGCTTGGTACTTCAAACCTGCTATACAAGCTGAGCTAAAAGTGCTCCAGTTCGGCTCTACTGGTCAACTCATCAGTTGTACATCGTATGAGGACATGTAGAGTTAACTCAAGTTCTCTCGCAAACTTGGGCACCTCAGTGCCTGCCGCAACGAAGGTTGCATGCATGGATGGACGCAAACTCATTTCATCACTCCTCCTTGACCTCAGCCTGCGGCGAAGGTCACAACTCAAGCGTCCTTCCATTGATGAAGCCATTGGGAAACCTTGGTCTTCGAAGCCAGGATGTCCCACGTTAGCTCCGTTCTTCCAGCGAGCCGTTGATGTCGCCAGACATATAGGACATAGCGGAGCTGCCTGGTGGTAGGTCGCCCATCCGGTGGCGGTTCATCACCCAGGAAAATTCCCAGTCTTTTCACCAGGTCCTCCTTCAGGCCGGTCACGGCCCTTCCTTCCGCCTCCAGACCAATCTTCAAGCTCTTCACCGTGAGCAGTTCAAGAACGTCCTTAATCACACGTTCACGTTCAAATTGGCCGGGATCTCCACGAAAGGGGCTCGGCGTTGGTGAGGGTGTTCTCCTCCGTGGAATCGGGGGTGTTGATGGTCGAGTGCCCCCAAACACACTGGTTCGGGACGGAGTTCCCAAGGGCTCTGATGGTCCCTCTGGTGTTCTTGGAGTCATAGCACTCGCTGTAGTGGAGGGTCTTACATCCTCCCGCTCCTCGCGTAGAACTCCCCGTAGAGTCCTCGCAATCTGCTCCGAGTTCACGATGTCCTCCTGTTCCGCCCACTTCTCTATCTCAGCCTCCGCTGCCGCCTTCGCCAATTCACGTAGCCTTTGGATTCTCCTCGCCCTCTTCGATCCACAGCACGCTGGAACCATCCACTTGTAGCATGCCCTTGCTGCCTCCCACATCGCGATAGCAGCAACACAGGACAGCATAAGCATTGTGATCAGCTCCATTGTTCCCGTGACCTGCAAAGGTTCCTTCTCAGCCGCCACCGCCAGTGACTGCACCGCCAGCAAAAGAAGAAACAGGCAGCCCAACTTCAAGCACTGAACCGCCTTCTTACCGTCCAGATCACTGATGCCCACCATATTCCATGTTCCAAGTAGGTGCAACAAGCGAACCTTGCTGTGTAACTTGGTAGGCAAATCTGCGGGTTGATCTTCTCCAGCCAAGTGGTTCACTTGCAGTTGTCCACCAGCAATACGATCTAGAACATAGGAGTGGCGAATCCTCAAATGTCTGGTTCTCCAGCTTCCTGTGGCACCGTTCATGATATTGTGGGCCGCCATGTTGTCTATGTACAGCTTGGGGACTGCAAGATTGGGGACAATCTCCTGCAGCATGGCCTGGGTGGACTCAAGCAGCAACGCACACGTAGAACCCTCCATGAGCTCAGCTTCACAAACCGACATAGCCACCATCGTCTGCTTACCTGCTTTCCAGGAAATGGGCGTACGCCCAACCATGACCAGACTGCAGCCAAAGCTCTTGCCACCGAATGGCGCAAACGAGGCGTCACAGTAACCCGACAACCTAACCCTGAAGCCTGCGTCGTGTGACTGCTCTGTGGACTGCGCTGTGGACTGCTTCGGCTCTGTGGACTGCTTCGGCTCTGTGGACTGCTTCGGCTCTGTGGACTGCTTTGGCTCTGCCTCGGCTTCGACCTTCAACTTGAGACCTGCAGTCGCGTTCAAGTAGGCCACAACCTTCAAGCCCACGTTGTAGACCTTCACCGGCTTCTTCGCCGTCATTCCGGCCATATAGTTCGTGACGTAGAGAATATCCGGGCGAGTACGGTAAGCAAGCCATAGGCATTCACCTGTGATCTTCTGAGCCCGGGTGAGCTCCTCGGCGCTGAAGTTCTCGGCCTCGCCATCCATGTCGGTGTCCTGGATCCACTCCTTGGGGCACGGCAGACCTGCCTTCTCCCCCGGGTCCAGCCCATGAAGTCGGACCAAATTGGCAACATATGCCTCCTGGCCAAGGGTGAACGTGTTCTCCTCCTGAAACAGCTCCATTCCAAGGTAACGGATACCCTGGTCTGAAAACTCGAGTGCTGAGCACGGCCAAATCTCCGCAATCTTGGTGTGGAGGAGGATGATCAATGCCCTAGCAGCCAAGTACAACAGGTCGTCCACATAGGTCACCAGGAGTCCTCGGAGTTGGGGTCGTTCAGCATCAGGTGGTAGTTGTAGGATCATCCAAAGCTCCCCGTCCGTGATCAGCGGTTTTAGCCAAACCCTTCCACCAGGGGCCTCGACGCTCACCTCCTTCAGAATCCTTGTTCTGTGGTTAGCCCATAGCGCTGGGCTTTCACGCAAACCGTAGAGCGCCTTCTTCACCACAAACACAACGTTGTCCGGAACGAGCTTCGCCTGCACGAGTATCCGGGGGGGTATCACTCCATACGTCGGCCTATCCGATGGCCACTCGGCCTGGAGGAAAGCCGCTGAGACATCAGTGGCGGCTGCATGCCATCCAAGGCTGGACGCAAGTGCCAAAGCCAGGCGGAGCGCCTCGACAGAGGCGCCAGCTGCATACAGCTCTTGCCCATTCAAGGACTGAGTGGCCAAGTTGCCACATATCACGATCCTGGCTTTGCGTTTCCAACGCGCCCCCTTTGACTTCTTCTCGGGCTTGGTCTCAGGAGCTGGAGGCTTGACCGTAAACACGACTTTGCCCGGGATAAGTATGAGCGACCCGTCATTCACAAGCTTCTTCGCATCCGCCATGGGCCGGGCTTCGATCGCATTCGTCTTGGCCTCCAGATTCGTGAGCTCCTTGTTCATGGGCTCGATCCATTCCTCAAGATTGGACTTCACCTGGTCCAAGGGAACATCCAGGGTAACATCCAAATCCTTCTTGAGGTTGATCAAGTACTCCTCGATGTCGCCGATCTCCTTATCGTCCGTGACATTGGCCACCTTGAGGTACAGGTCATTGCACCTTTTCTCCACTGACCGAACTTGATCCTCAACATCCTGGATAAGCTCCCGGACCACCACATTGATCTCCTTGATCTCATCCCGAATGGTTTCACCAACAGTATTGAACTCCTCAGCCAGGATCTCCTCCTCAGCCAGAAACTGCTGAAGCCATTCACGTCGTTCCTGGAGTCTCCCAAGTACATCATCCTGTAGCTGCTGCAACTCCTGACTGATTTCCTGGGCCCTCTCCTGTCGCTCTTCCCCAGGGTCTTTCATCTGGAACATGACTGCGTCGGGGCCGTCCCTGGGTCCAGACAGGTTCATCATCTTGAGGATGTTCCGCTGCAGTTGCTCTGGGACTTGTGGTGGTAGAGGAGGTGGATTGAAACCATAGTCCAGGAGTTTCATGTAGGCGGGAGGTTTCAATCTGGTAGATCTTGGCGTGAATGAGGTCATAACTAACCGTTTTCCTTCCCAGTCCTCGGTCTGGTGGAACTTCCTGGGGTTGATCTTGATGGGAACTCCAGGATGTAGGTCCATCACCCTTCCACGACGCCAATCTCCCTTTGGTAGTTGCCGCCACTCATCGTCCACATCGTAGTCCTCCGGTTCGGACTCAACCCAAACTCCACCTCCACGCTCGCAAGGTAGTAGAGGAAGTAACACGTTGTTGCGGTCGGCGTGGTTGTGGACATCACGGTGTATCCTCATCCCGACGTCCTCCGTCATCAAGATCGATGAGAAATCACTTTCCCCAGTGAGGTGGGTGAACGCCTTCACCAGGTATAAGGTAGCCCAAGGGAACCGATCCGTGTCCAAGGTGGCCCCGCATTGGCCTCCATGCGTATACTGGCCAATCAACCATTGGAGTCCTTCACCCTGGGTCGTTCTTGTAGTAGATCTCGCATAGGGCTTCAAGAGCTCCCACATCGCAACCACGCTCTCCAAGTCGTAGCGCTCGGAATCCATAAGCTCCTTCGCCTTGCGATCTACTTCTTCCTTCGGGTCGGTGTCTAGCTGGGCCAATCGGGACTTCCCTCGAATCCTCCTCACCGGATCTTCAACCTCCATTTCAAAGGGCCCGTGCTCGACCAAGTCGTCGGAGTCCACAAGATACGGCTTGATATGCACCGACGTCGTGTAGCCTCCATCATCATGACGGACCACTCTGCCTCCACGAACGTCCGAAGAATACCCAACGAACTTGCCTGAGCGCCAGCGTTCAGCGAGGTCATAACTTCCACCCTCTCCGAACCTCTTGTGTTTCACGTGCACTGGTGCCCCAAACGGCACTGTTTCATCGGTTCGGTCTCCGAGTGCCAAGTCTCGCTGTCTCCTGGCAGAGAATTGT